CTTCAATAAAACTTAATACGTATAACAATTTTTTTTTTTTTTTTTATACCAAAAAAATCAATCGACAATCTTGTTAAAATTATCGTCATATTTCTATCACATCTCAAAACTTTATTACCACTCTGATCAGTTTTAATAAAACGTAATGGGTCAAAGTGATCTCGATGGGTAAATTGTTTTTCTTTCAAAACTCATCTATAAACGCTTTTCTTTGACATTACTTGTAAACTCAAATCTTTCAATAGGCAAATTGAAAAACTCCGTAAATGCGAATTGATCTCAGAAAATGAAGTAAAAGAACTTTGTCGAAAAGCTAGGGAAGTTTTGATAGAAGAAGGTAATGTTCAAAGAGTGGACGCGCCCGTAACCGTAAGTTTATTATTATTATTATTATTATTATTATTATTATTATTATGAATCTGCATTTTATGTCGTGGTATTCCTCATCATTAATAGATCTTTTACTAGATATGTGGTGACATACACGGGCAATTTTATGATCTTAAAGAATTATTTAAAGTCGGTGGTGATTGTCCGGATACGAATTATCTGTTTTTAGGTAACCTTTTTTAAAAATCACTCGATCTTACTTGGTAATTAGTATTTAAATACTTTTTTTTTTTTTTTTTTACAGGAGATTTTGTTGATCGCGGATTTTATAGTGTAGAAACATTTTTATTACTGCTTGCTCTCAAGGTATCGTTATGTCTGTTATGCGTCATTTTTCAATATATGATTAATGCGGACCTTGATGTAATAAATAAAATTTTAATCATTAATATTCTATGGATTCACCTTTTCTGACTCTTAGACCTTTGACTAAATACTAGAACTTATATAAATCAAATAAAAAATAAACGAAAAGATCTTTAGATCAAAAGATTATTATTAATAATTTATTTCCTAATACGTAGATCATTGAAATCTTTGGCTAAAATCGATTTAAAATATGGTCTAAGATATTAGAAAACTCGAAAATCGCAAAATACACCTCTTATTATTAATAAAAAATTATAATAATATGTTAAGTACATAGTAAAATTATTAATAAAAAATTATAATAATATATTAAGTGCATAGTAAAATTATTATTAAAATTTAATAGTAAAAACATTTATAATAATCGATAAGCGTATAGTAAAATTAAAGTTATTAAAAATACTTAATAAAAAATGCTTTAAGTTTGATTCTGAGCTTTAATTATAACTAACGTAAGCTACATTTTTTTATGGGCAATGCTAGGGCTGCTATTTCTTATGGTATACATTTAAATATTGCATATAAATTACTAAAAAATATTATTCAGCAAATCGTTTAAGTGCAAAAATACTATTCCTGATAGGATATAAAAAAAAAAAAAACGATTTATAAAATTAAGAAAAAAATATTTTCTTTTTCAAAATTTTGCCTATGAAACTGCTCTTGGTGCTTTAAGAAAAAAAAAAATTCTACACATGATTTTGGTATAGTATTTGCCTAAATCCTTCTCCTAATAACCCTAACATCAAAACCTATTTAATATAGGCCGATGTTGATCAATTAGTATAACCTGTCACACATTCCGTTCTT